TCACTTGCATTGCTTTAACTAGTGATACCTTTAGAACAAGCTAAGTTCGGTGTTATCCTGCCTTCATAAAAGTCCAGACAGTTTGTTCCGTTGTTCTCCGTATCTTTTCGAGTGGATGAGGGCTCACCCAGTTGTACCGGCGAGACTTTCAGCCTGTCCGTTAAACTGAAAATAGTAGGGCAGCGATCAAGTTTGTATAACCACATTCTTGCAGAAAAAGTCTGAGGAAATTTATATTGTGAACTGAGACTCGTTTGCCGCAACCAGAAGATCGAGTTGCACGGAAAATCTATTCAGGAATGTGATTGCTAATGTATTTGACGTTTGACTCATATTCAGCATAACCATTAATCATGACTTTCCTGCACATGACTATAGGGATGCCTGGATCTTTGATGGTAGTTTTGCTGATTGGAAGCATTGTAAACACTTCTGTACCATGTTCTCAGTGTCCCAACCCATCCGTGTTCAGTTAACGTAGCTGCATCCTAGTAACTTCAGATGTTGCACATCCAGATCACTTATGTGGAGTTCTTTTGATAATCAACATCTGGGAGTGACTAGAATTAATAAACTCTCCCCAAACAACAAGCACTAATCGGCAATGGGAAATACATCATGCTGTCGGAAATACTTTATTAAGTCGTTGTCAACTTTCTGGCCAAACGTCGTGCACACATTTGACCGTTTTGCTAGAGTTAGAGCATGATCCTGTTCCATATTATACGGTGTCGGCAAGGGATGATCACATCCGACACAAATACGTTTACTTCTGCTTCAAATCATTTTACACCAATAACATAACCCTTGTCGAATGGTCGATTTGAGTAAATTGGTTTTGATATGTTAAATTATTTGAAAGGGTTGACATTTCCCGATTGATGATTTTAGAGAAAGTGACTGATCAGTCTTTATTGAAATACATGTACTCTGAGCAGGTCATCTCGTTATTGAAATCGGATCACAAGTTTTCATCAAAGTTGGATTGTGACTAGCAGTGAAATTTAAGATACAGGTTTCATACAATTTAGGACTCGTCTGAGGGATGTTTTTAAATCCCAGTGTGGAATTTCTCACAGAGATTAGAATCCAATACCTTTCTCTTAACATGATAACACATTATCGATTGAACTATTAAGTTCAGGTAGACACTAGTTTGTGCAATTGGTGTGGTTTTTATTTAAAATGGTTTACATATTTACAATGTTAATGTCAGTTGCTAATAACAAATCACATACTACATTGGTTCTAAGTGCTTAATGTCGTTTTAGAATTTCCTAATGAATAAACTTACGTTATGCGATGAACAGCATATGGACTATGGTATTGAATACAAGATTGATAATATAAAGTATCTTTAAAATCAGTACATTTGCCAGTGGTTCATAGTCAAATTTCTATCATATAAGAACTTAATTAAATACTGCACCATTACAAGAAGCGTAATTGCGTATGTACGTAAGTACATTGTTTGAAGGGTTATTGTTGGGGAAGTTAGATCTCCAGAACTCACTTGGAAAAGGACCTGAATTTGTAATTTTATTTAGAAAGTTTAGACTTCTTCGTTTTTGTGCCAAAAGCACTCTTTTCACCTTCATGTCGTATTTCTCACTTAGGAAAATCTTAAACTCTATTGGTCCGTTATGTCTTTTCGTACTTTATTTTGTGACGCTTCCCACGGACGGTTTTGTGCTGTATATATTCGTTTCGATTTGTGTTTGTTATTATTACTCATGCTTCTGGCTTTTTGTGGAATATACTTCCCCATTCCAATCTTGAACTTCTTCCTCTATTTAGCGGGGCTGGGATGCAATTGGATAGCTAGCTTATTGGTTTTTGGTCACCGAGTCTTTGTTTCCGTTCGCAGATTAAGTGAACTCGTAGCCGCTTCAAACCTAGCAGTTTTGTGACGATTGGTGTGGTCGTGAGCATATTCACCGATAAGGAGGCCTTGAGAGTAGTCAGCTAATAACTAGGACCAAATGAGGGTTATAAACCAGTATGAGGAATTGAGATTATGATTTACAGTTGATGGTTAGGGTTCGGAATTAGATTTAGGGTTATCATCACGAACTGACATCATTTATAATGCCAAAACTCTATTTAGTCAAATGGATAAGTGAAATTCGCGTCGGAATCCGAGATCAGTTATCTTATACTTGATTGGTTCGTTCATAAATTATAGTCTCGTCAGTTTCGAAATATAAACAACGGTTAGTGTTTAAAACCGTTTACAAACAGTTACAAATAGTTTTGAATTAAGTGCATCATCACTCTTTCTTGACTGTATACAAGTGTTTAAACTAAATTACTATGTACCCATAACCAGTAGGAAATCAGTTTACTCGACATGGAACTTATGATTCCTTTGGTTTTATGGACTAAATAACAAACGTCAGTGAATGTGGGAAGGAAATATTATCATTAGATGTTTCTTTTTTCTTCACAAATGTTCAATCCACAGAATAATCTACTTCTTATCAGATTTTTAGCAACAATACAATAGAAATTGGCATGTCAAATTATTACCTAAAGGAAATATTCTTAAGCTGACTCTTTGACGTCCAACGTAGATTTATTAATGATTTCCATGAACAAAGGCTTGCAATCAGACCACTAGTAAACCGTCTTCTAGCAGACCGTTCTGTGTTCTACCCGTTAACGAATTATCAATAAATTTCCTTTTTAGTAATGATATTTGGACGATACCTTCATCATATTCACTGACAGTGATAATAATATTATATTACTTCAGTAAATCCCTCCTGTCGATTAGTTTGATAATAAAGTGAGGGTTGAATTGAAAATTTTCTTTTCTTGATGTATTACTGAAATGAAGATAGAATGGATCTCTACAAAGATCGATATAAACAAGCCAACTTGAAATGGCTAGTATATGAACTTTTAGAGTAAGATGGCACTAACTAGGAAGATAAACTTAATCCATTCCCTATCGTCAAGAACTAGACAAATGTAAATAAGGGCGAAATTGATGGGCAATCGAATAAAATTCGTCAAATACTAATGAAAAATGATTTATTACCCCTTAAGTTTATTAAAAACTGTCTAAAACTAAAGCGACAAGCTAAAGTACCCTGACAGTTCAGTCAAAAGTAAAGTCATGAACATCGGATTCAAAATGAATATGATGGAGAATATACTGAAGTGCAGACTATCAATATTTCTGAGAAAAACCTATTCATCAGCTCCTCGAGTCGTTTTCTCTTGTAAGGGCCCTCAAATGCACTGGTACGGCCGAGAGTGGGGAGAGTCCGCTATCTCTCTCTCCAAATTCTCTCACATGGCCACGTGTATACAGCCTCTACCGATGATACCCTACTCATTGCCTTCTCGTGGCAGGGATGTTGTTTACGAAATTAAAAAGACGAAAAGCGAACGTCCGGCACTTTGACCGGGTTGGTAGACATGGAGAGTCTACGTAGGGGAGTTGAAAAACATTGATTCCAATCCGATGGTGAACATGGGCTCCAGAATCCTGAGGGAACAAATGGTGTATGAACCAATCGTTGGTCACCGGCTACCATGGGACTGCATCTCTTTACGTTGCTCCACTGCCTTGTGGATCAGACCTTTAGGTCGAAAGCTCCGATTGCGGTCCCCTAAGAAAACCACCTGATTCAGTTTGGGCACTCGGGCAGTATCACAGCCCTTACACATATCAAATGAGATCTGTGTGGCGCATATGTATTTGATGCCTCCTTGTATCAACATCTATGTGTTAAAATACATGAATAAATCTCATATGGAGCAAGTTATATTACTCATAAAAAAAGCACTTACCAAACATATATCCCTACACTGACCCTATCAGCTATCTAAAGGGATGTGTAAGTTAACCAACTCCACGATCCTTGAACATATGATCAACTTCAATTACTTTCCATCACGAGAATCATTTTCTTTGGGTATGCACAAAGTTAAAGTTCTTTTAAATTGTACTAATTATTACCAATTATTATCTTATTCTTCACCTTATTTCCCTTCTCATTACTTCTAGAAAATATTATTTTTATTTAATTGCCTACAGGACTATTACATAACTCTTAGTCAATATATGGACACATTTGATAGTTTCTCATGTATTTCTTAAAGGATCTAACACTTCACTACTTTATCATAGATAATCATATGTAAACTTAATTTTGAATCCAACTGTACAGTTTAAGTAAATGACAAAAAGAAAGTTCTCTTCGTTGAACCGTCTTCATATTTTCGAACGATTCAAAGAATTTCTTCCATTGTTTTACAATTGCGATAGTGATTTAACATATACACTAATGCACTAACATTGTGAAATATGGAATCATTTAAATTGAAACACTTTACGAGATAGATTTACTATTAACTGATGATAATAATATCAATGAATCCATACAAGATTCTTTTACATTTATACAATCAAATGCATTCAATACATCGAATTAATACCATAAGTGAGGAATCAAACAAACTATGTATGATTCACGTCCTATTTGGATGTACCTACATCTCAGAGTTAATGTTCACACTGGAACTCGAATTCTGTACCGTTCGTTTCAAACGCCATCGCGTTATCCAATATGCACAGTATGCACATATGCTAATAAGAGACTGATCACTTGCAGTTCTAAACATCAATGGGAAGATTCAAGTTAATAAAATCAAGTGAATTCAAACTTCACCCCATTGCACAATCAGGTGACGATCAGGTCTCAGTAGCTAAGTGGATAATGCAATGGTATTTGAACAGCACTGGGTTCGAGTCCCAGAGTGAACATCAACTCTGCGATGTAGGTACATCCAGCTGATGACTCCCGAATGAGACGAAACGCGCGTTCTCCATCCCACTGCTAGCCACTATTCATCTTTGCTTATAATGCTTGTGAATGAAGGCAATATCGAGGCAATATGCACAGTATACACACATATGTCAACAAGAGATTGATCGAAATTGCAGTCTTAGACATCAATGGAAAGATTCAAGCAAACAATACTAAGTGAATTTATGTATGATTTAATTTTCTTTTTTTCATATGTATATAAAAATTATTTATAAACTATAATAATGGAGAAGAAGAAGAAGGAGAAGTAATTTCATACGGTGGCGGTGGTCCATATTCATGATAATATGATAATGGTGTAATATGTAATCGGATACATCGTTCTTTGATATATTTACGATATAATTGTTTAAGTGCATTTTTTAAATCTTCTGTATTTGTAATTTGATATAGATTATGATTATCTATAAGATAAATAAAAAAAGGATTATATAATTAGTGAATTGATATATCCATTAAAATTTCATTCATAGTTCACATGGAGATTATTTTTGATCAGTAAATGAAATACTTAGATGATATAAAATCAATAAATCATATCATTCACCTTGACTATCTATGTTGATTGATTTAATTGTCTTAATCACATATGGTGTATTGATTTCCGTGATCATTTCAGTTACGTGAAATTAATGATTATAAGATGAGATGAAATAGAGTTTACTGTTGATATTGATAGTAATGATGAAATATGCTGTGCGTGATTGTGGATACACACTACTGAGGAGTCCCATACTAGGATGAGTCGGTCGTCCAGTGCTTCTAGGTTTTCCATGGTTATGTAGTTTCAACTGACTCATGATTTTAACCAGTGAGATTTTCAAAATCTCTACAGAACCCCTTCTGATATATAAATAACTTTATTATTTTGACCGGATATCATCAGAAATAATCTACTGTGTAAGAGAACAAACCAACTTCTAGCTTATGAGAAAATTAACAAGAGATAATAGAAGTGGATAAGACATATATTACAAAAATCACCGAATTACAAGATGAGGCAAGCGCTAACATGAAATTTTGAAAGGAAACAGAAAAGTATAAGATCGAACAATACACTTCGCTGAGAAACGGAATCAGATATGAAAAGAATGAATGTCAATTAGAAAGATCTGTAAAGGGTTGTCTAGGACAGAGTGGGATGTTGAATGCTTGTGGACAGCCTATACTCCTTCGCGAAGGATAATAGGAGTAAGTAAGTAAATCTTATTATTCTTTTAATTAAAATTTAGTATAAATCAACTGTTCATAATTTACGCAGATTCAATAAAATTAGAAAACTTTTATTTATTCTCTATAATAGTGACAATGAAGTCAACAAATGGCTATAACAATTTCAATTATTATCTTAGAGTAGGATGAAACGGCGATCCAGTACTTCCAGGTTTTTCATGGTAGTCTAGCTTCAATTGACTCATGATTTCAACTATTAAAATTACTATATTATCCACAAAAAGTCCTTCTGATAGTATCCTGTTAACCTACAAAATCACAGTTAAAACGTATTGATATAATTCGGAAGAAAATTCTCAATGAGATAGAATATCAGCACTTATCACAAATAATTAACTGAAATTCTAGTGTCATTTAGTAACATGAAATAATGTGGCATGGTAACAAGTATGAAAAGAAACAAAATGGCGTCATCGGAATTACTTGAAATATTTGATAAAGCAGCCCTAATTTTAAATGATGTTTTTAATGTTCAATTGATTAAGCATAGAATATATTCAAGAGATATTTTTATTGTCTAAGGTACAATACAGTACATAGAAATCATAATTGAGATTATCAACTGATCAATGTTTGACCATCATTGAAAACATAGAAGCACTAGTAGGCCGTTTCGTCCTGACATAAGACTCTACAGTAGTGCGTATTCACGATCCGACACGCGAGACTCGAATCCAGGACTTTAGGTCTCACATGCAAAGGTTTAACCTTTGGACTACTAAGCCGGGATCCAACAGCGTTAATGTTGTTTACATTATTGTATGTCAAATATGACTAAAGTGTAGAATAAAGAACAGAAAGGAAGTAAAATATCACAAAATTTTGAACCCTTGTAAAAAGAGCAATAAACGGTTGCTATCATTCTTTTTAAAAATGGTACCGCTTTTGAAGGATTTTTGGGAATGTAAACACTTAATAAGTGTTCATAAGTAAGAGTCCTTTATTACTTCACATCAATACAGACTATTGCTTATACATTTATAAATTCATAAAAAACGTTTATAGTGGTTAAAACGGTGAAGCTGACTAAAACTATTTCCAGTTTAGAGGTTATGGAGATTGTTAAGTTTTTGATTAAAATCATGAGTCAATTAAAACTGCACCACTATGGAAAACCTGAAAGCACTGTATGGCCGTTTCGTCCTAGCATGGGACTCCTCAGCACCTTGCGAGATTCGAACTCAGGCCTATCATTCTAGCGCCAGGCGCTTAACCAACTAGGCCACTGAGCCGGTACCCAATGGTGTTAATGTCGAACCTCAACCAATCTACGAAATTGCGCGACCATCTTCCATTTTACTGAGGTAGACACTTGTTTCTAGGCCCTGGGTTCGAATCCCGCGGAGTGCGAGAACGTGGATGCGCACTGCCGAGGAGTCCCATACTAGGACGAAACAACCTTCCAGTGCTTCCTGGTTTTCCATGGTGATCTAGCTTCAATTGATTCATGATTTCAATCTAAAACTATTTCATTCGCTAATCGTTAAATGACTGATAAATCTTACGGTACCGGAACGACATACGCTGAAGAAATTATTGTTTGCTTAAACTGATCCACAAAACACCTACGTTCTGGAATTTATTCTTCTTGACATTATAAAGTAGGATGCATGATCGAGGTTGTAGAGGGTGCATTGATTTTTAATAACAGTTACCGTGATTTCGTTATTACATTCACAGTTATCACTATTTAGGTATTTCTAATAAATTTAGTCATTTTAAGAAATAAAATTTTGTGGTTTGGTAATTTGAAAAATCATTCATGATTCATGACCAATTAGATTAGTATCATCTTGATAAAAAATGATATAATCGGTGAAACTATAATTTATGGATGACCTTTGAGCAACACCAAACTGACCTTGAGAGTGTTCACCTAATAGTTAGGACCAGATAAGGGTTATAAACCAGTATAAGGAATTGGGATTATGATTTACAGTTGATAGTTAGGGTTAGGAATTAGATTTGAGGTTATCATCAAGAACTGACATCATTTATAATGCCAAAACTCTATTTAGTCAAATGGATAATTGAACTTCACGTCGAAATCCGAGACCTATTATCTAATACTTGATTGATTCGTTCATAAGTTATAGTCTCGCTAAATGATCTTACATTTAGATCATACTGAACCTTAAAATATGGGAATAACTACAATGTAAGTAGAGGGCCACACCCGGAGCCTCCAATTTACAAGTCTGATCCACAAGACATTGAAGTAACGTCAGGAGATGCAGTCTCATAGTAGCCAGTGACCAACAATAGGTTCATACACCATTTGTTTCTTCAGGATTCTGGAGCCAGTTCATGTGCACCGTTAGTTTGAAATCAGGGTTTTCCAATTTCCTTAGGTGGACCCTCCTTATCCATAAACCCGAATAAAGCACCACACATTCGCTTTTCGTCTTCTGAATTCCGTAAACAATATTCCTGTCGCAATAAGGCAGTGAGCAGGACTTCCCTTTCAGTGATTATATGAACACGGCCATGTGAGAACATTTCGAGAGAGAGAGAAAACTGACTCTTCCCACTTTCTGCCTTACCAGAGCATTTAGAAGCATTCCTTCCAAAACTACTGTCTAAAATATGTATCATTAATCAAATAAACTCAAACTAAACATTATCAATATTTACACACCATAAACAAACCAGCTTCCAGCTGAAGAGGAAATTAGGAAAAGATAATGGAAATGGATAAGACATACACTGTGCAAACTGCATCACCAGGCAAGCCCTAACATGGAATCCTGAAAGGAAGCGAAAAAGTGGAAGGCCAAACAACATATTACATCGAGAAATAGAATGAGATATGAAAATAATGAATGACAACTAGAAGAATCTAGAAAGGATTGCCCAGGATAAGGTTGAATGAACATTGCTGCTGGTGAGCGGCCTATGCTCCTAAACGAGGAATAACCGGCGTAATTAAGTAAGTAAGTATTAAATGAATTGAAACTTAATAATAAACTAAATAGCATTATAAAAACATAAACTTACAATTCCATTGAATAATATAATCTTTATATTTGAAATTATTTAATTCATGTAATTTCTTTAAAATATCCTCATATTCTAATATATGAGTAAGTTTTTGTAATTTCCATATAAATATAATTTGTGCATCATGATTATATTCTTTTTGAATTAATTTGAATATAACCATTTACTATTACTAATATATATATATATTAGTATAGTATAGTTGCTAAGGGTAAAGCAAGTGATGTTTCTATATACTATATATATATAGTATAGTTGCTGAGGTTAAAACAAGTGATGTTACTATATACTAAATATATATAATTCTATTACATATAGTATAGTTGCTAAGGGTAAAGCAAGTGATATTACCATATATATAAATATAATTCTATTTATTCATTGATTATTATTATAATCATCAATTAAGTTTGATCAACTTCTGTTTATTAATTGAACCAATAATCTTGGCTTCTAGAAGCATTATCTTATATCATTCACGTGTATCAATCATATGCTACTAAATTATAATTGAATGTCTAGAAGAGAAATATCTATTGAATAGTTTTATATCTTCTTTTTTTTCTTCTTTCATTCTTAATATACTGAAAGAGAGAGAGATAGAGAGAATATGATTTTGTTTGTTTTATATGTATGTTGTTGGCATGTTTATGTTGTGTGTTTTTTTGTTGGTTATTGTATACTTATGTCATGAATGCTTTGGATCGTGAATAATGTGTATGTTCGATTTCAATTATCATTGAAACATTGTTTATCGTTTCTGAAATGGTTCTGGTTAGCGAGTTAGTTTTCGACGGGATGGGGACGCTAACCCCATGCCCAACCCTCCTCCTTTATCCGGGCTTGGGACCGGCAGTAGCCCTCGGAGGGACTTCAGGCGGAGTTTTCTGAAATGATACTGAATGTTATTTTACAGAATATTATTTCTAATTCAGGATGTGAAATGTTGTAAGTGTTGTATACTTTAATTGGATTTATTACATTGTAGATATTTCACTATCTTGTTAGATACTTTAATGAAAGGTATATGTAGATAATGGCTATTTAGAAAGATAATAGAAAACATAACAACTAAACAATTCGATTCGCGTGACTATCGTAACTAATAGTTGAAGATTCTGGGTGATATAGTTTAGTAGAATTGATTACAATTACATAGGTTTATACGCTCTAAGTTTTCCATTAAAATAGCTGTATATCTTTGTTTCTACCAATTAATTCTTTCTTCCTGTATTATGTTCTTGTATGAAATCTTTCTTTTATATCTTACCTCCAATGAATTAACTAATTCTATGAATTCCTTTGTGCTAATGAGATGTGGCAACTTGGAACGATGCATATATGTGTCTGGTTCTACATTGTAGCTGACTGACTGATTCGTAGAATATAACACCTTCAAAATCAATGATTAAACTAGATTAATGAAAGTCACTTACAAGATCTTTATTTAACTATTTTTGTGTAACTTTCGATATTTACTATTACATAGTTAGAAATAAATAACATAGTTGATGACAATACTATTTACACTTGGATTAATTTTGATTCGGTTATTTATTTATTCTCTGAAGAAAAGGCTTGCATCAAGTTGCGAAACGTAAGAAAATTTAATTTTTCTACTCCCTGAGATATTACAAATATTTTATCATTTATTTTAAAAAATCTAACCAGTGCACAATTTATTCGAAATGATCAAGTCAAACCTTGGTAATGATATCTACATTACATAGTTACTTGAGTATATCAATTAACCTTGAAAGGAACAAATGATATCTACACGACTACTTACTTACTTACCTAATTACGCTTGTTACTCCTCGTAAAGGAGCATACACCGCTTACCAGCATTCTCCATCCAACCTTGCCCCAGACAATTCTTTCCAGCTCCTTCCAGTTCGTATTCATTATTTTCATATACGATTCTATTTCCCGACGTAATGTGTTATTTGGCCTTCCACTTTTCCGCTTGCCTTCAGGATTCCAAGTTAGGGCTCGCCGCGTGATGCATTTTTACGATTTGCACAATGTATGTCCATTATCATCGTCTTTTCATAATTCCTTCTTCATTTGGAAGCTGGTTTATTCTCTCACAGAGAACGCTGTTGCTGATGATATCCGGCCAATGGATGTTGATTATCTAACGTACACAACCATTTATAAATACTTGTACCTTCTGGATGATGGTTGTAGTAGTACTTCTCCGAGTTTCAGTTCCTTACAGTAGAACCGACTGTCTTGACGTTGGTATTGAAGATTCTCACTTCGATATTGGTTAAAAGTTGTTTTGAGTTCCATATGTTCTTCAATTGTAGGAATGTGGTCCTTACTTTTCCAATCCTCGCCTTCACGTCTGCATCCGATCCTCCTTGTTCGTCGTTGATGCTTACCAGATATGTGAAGGATTCTACATCTTGCAGAGTTTTGACATCAAGAGTGATTGGATTGCTGTTATCCGCTTTGAATTTGAGGACCTTGGTTTTCCCCTTGTGTGTGTGTTGAGGCCTACTGATGCAGAGACTGCTGCTACACTGGCTATCTTTATCGAGGTCCTCATAATCCAGTTGACCACCAGAATAAGGAGGGAGAGAGAGAGTAGACAGACTTGTTTGACTCCTGTCCTTAATTGGAATGCATCTGTCAGCTTTCCTCTATGCTAATCAGGAAAAATTATCTGCACGTTATCACATCATAAATCATATAATTTTCTTCGAAGTAGAAACATTGTCTTAAATAATGTTCCTAGTAATCAATTAGTTAATAATAAATTTGATGGCTTAAATATATATACTGAAACACATTATTTATCGGGTTTTCATCCTGTACAGTTATGTAATTATTTTCGATAACGTTTTTATCACTGTTATTAATGAAGGCTTGATGTGAACAGTGAAATAAAGAAGTCATGACAAACAACGAAAGCTGTTTTTGGACCGTTGTCTCACTTAATCAAAAGTTTTTAAAACACTAACATACAGTTTTGTCCCTAGTTTATTCTTTAAATCATAAGCTTTCGTTTGATGTACAATTCACTGTCATAGCCTTTTCTGTTCCAAAGCTATTGTAATTTGAAAGTAACCTTTTGTACTCTATTTTTCTGCTCATAATTGTAGTTTTCTAGTTGTTTTTGTGTTGTTGTCATGTTAGTCATCTATTTATTGGTGTATCTTTTTACACTAATCGGAATCAAAAATGGGGATCTGGAATAAATCGAGTAGTGTTCCAGTTGAATCGTCTTCTGTTGCTTGTCAATCAGTCAGGTGATAGAATAGGTTTCATCTCTCTAGCCAAGATCGTTAGTCTCAATACGGACTCATGCATTTCTAGCCTCAAGATTAAACCAGTTAGCCTATCATTTCATGTTCTCTTCTGTATTTTACTGAGTAGACAGATCAAGGACGTAACATGACCAATGCCAAATTTAATTACAGAAACTAAACGTAAAGGAATGTTGCGGATATAGCCCTGGGTTTTGATTTAGGACACTATTAATGGAAGAACCTAGTAGTATCCTTATGATGAAAGTTTGTTACTAGATTAACTAAACTGAAAGTACCATAATTAGTTAAATTAAAATGACTCAACATTTCGATCGGAAACCTATTAGATTTGTACATTATATAAATGGTTATAAAAATGGTAGGACTATAATTTATGGACGAACTAATCAAATTTCAGATAGCTCTTCATGGATTTTTGCGCAAAATTCACACAACGATTATAGTTGGAGATAGTTCATGATCAAAACCCTGACTTTAATTCTTCACTTTAAATTGCAACACCGAGTTTTGTTCTTAATTATTTACACTAATTCATGAATCTACGTCGGGCGTAATAAGCGACTGAAGTTACTGGTAGGCAATTAGAACAGCTTACAGGTTGTTCTGAAATTTTAGTCTCTCCATTTTTTGCTTAGTTCTAAGATTACTACCAGTTTCAAGCCCACGTAAAGGAGGAGGGTTGGGCATGGGGTCATCATCCCTATCTCGCAGATACATTCTTCCTAAAAAAAATCATATGGAACAAATTAAACCGTTTAAACTCTGTCCTTCGAGTTAAAGAATCTTTACTCAAAAGAATTATGACGCCTCATGATGAAGCACTAACTTCAATATTTCAAGAGGTATCATCATAACGAATGAATCGCTATGTAAATCCTGGACAAGACTCAAAAAAGAAGGACAATAAGACAGCAGGCAACAAGAGTCGAACAAGAACAGTGAAAGTCAAGGCAGAAGCTGAATACACAGACGCAAACAAGCAAGTGATGAAGAGCATTAGAGCCAACAAGCAGAAATATATGGAAGACCTAACAACGACAGCGGAAAAACCTGTAGGAGAAGGAAATATGAAACAAATATATTACGTAACGAAGAAACTGGCAGGAGAATATAACAAATCAGAAGGATCAGTCAAATATGAAGAAGAAAGCCAGTCACTAAGATTCAAGAATAAAGAAAAAGATGGGTATGACACTCTGAGCGACTCTTGAATAATCCAGCTCCATTGAATCCACCGAACACCAAATCAGTACAATCTTCCATCTGAAGAAATTCGGAAGAAACTATTTAAGTGATTAGGGCATACCTTGAGGTAATCATCAAACTGCATCACGAAGCAAGCACTGACGTTTGGTTCCGAAGGGAAACGGAAAAGAGGATTACCAGGGGACATTACGTCAGGAATCAGAAGCAAAAATCAATAAATTGGATAACAGCTGTCAACAACTGGGACAGAGTTCGATAGAGAATGTTAGTGGTTAGCCTATGCTCCTCCATGAGGGGTAACAGGCCTAAGTAAATGAGTAAGTAAGTAAGCTAAGTAGATAATGTCACTTATAGTAATTTTCTTCATTAATAATGTAGCTGTATATTTTTGTATAGACAAACATTATTTAAAGAAACAATCAAACATACGAGATTCATATAAAGAACTGAATGAATATGTAGTGGCATTGGACCATAACCACACAATCTTCAAAGCTGAACACAAGACTACTCAGAAAATAGATATTCAATATTTAACGCGGAGAAATACCTAACGATGGAAAAGGCGGGAACAGTGAATTGAAGGAATTGGAGTTGATCGAATGGCATGGCTCGGCCATGCAGGCGTGGTCCCTCTGAATGTTAACTTATATCTTCTATTCATACTAAATATATTGTTCCTTCTCTAGCCTAACCTTGTTCTACATCATGTAATGGTAGTTGATACGATACAGTGAGTTGGTGTAGTCGATGGTGTGACTTCCACGTAAGATCTTATAGATTAGGCAGTTATATCATGACAAATCTACAATTTTAGGATTAGATCTATCATTAAAGCAGTACCAATATCATAGTAGACCATAGTTCAACATTGGT